TATGTGAAAGAAGGTACGCGCGGAGAAGCCCGCCCGTCCGGCGCAGCCGGGCCGTATCAGATGAAGCCGCGCCGCCGTCAGCCTCCGAGGCGACTGGTATAACATACTGATGACTTGTTATAGGGTGCTGGCCTAGCTCTTTGTTTTTTTTCACCCCACCTTAATACTTCTATTTTTCCCAGTTTGACAAACAGCTCATAATTTTTCTTTCTAATGTGAAATCTCTTTTGGATTGCTTAAACACTCCAAACCCATCTTCATTCCATGTCAGAGCTAAGTAGTGCATGCCTTGCTTGTGTTACTGTGCTGACCCAGGTGCACACCGGCGCCAAATGCCGTGCAGTGCGCCAATCTCCACTCGAAGGGCACCACCTCACGTAAAGATTGATGCCCGCTTCTTTTTGGTAATGTTGAGCGTAGTTAACTCAAAACGGTGTAACGTAAGGGGGCATTGTGCAGTATGCTTAGTAGTTTCAGTAATCTGTTTAGTTCAGACGTTTTTTCCAATCATCGAAGTGCTGTTGCTGTATAGTTCTCTTGATGTACCATTTTCCTCCAACTTCCTTTTTTCAACGACTTTCAAGGTTTCAACTCTTTTCAAAAAAATTCGGCATTTTCGAGTCGAATTCAACCCTTTGTACGTCTGTCTATACTGCCCTCTCCGCCACCCTCAATAACAGGACACTTTGCGAGCCGGTACATTTACATTGAAATCTCGTGTGACTGTGCTACGTAAGCATGTCCAGCACGCTGCAGTCGACAATCGTGATCAGCGATCAGGACGTCTCTTATGGTTAGTGATGCATCTACAGTGCAAGAGAGAGAGAAAGAGAGAGACCTTGGTGACCCTTGTCAAGGTCGCGCAGAAGGAGTAGGTCTATCCACCGCTGCTTAACGACGGTCCTTGCACTCAACCAAATCGCAGGCGTCCCTCCTTGTACAAGTAGTCTGGTCCTCAACCTCTAAGATTGTCCCACTTTCGCGGCTTCACAGTAAGTAGCGAAACCCTGCGGTCCTCATAAGTAGCAGTTCTTACGCCTCTCTAGTTGTCCCACTCATATGCTGTCGTCTAAAAAGTGTTGCATCGATTCGCAAAGTACCGAATTTAAAGTGACATTGGTTTATAACTGCGGTGACTCTTTATCGGTTCTTCTAGGATTTTCATTAGGTATCTATCAGCTTTACAATCAATAACCGCCCCACAGTTGTTCTCCTTTCTCTTCGCTGTTCAACTGAGGTTTCAGCTTGAGCTCTCGCCATGGACGACGACGATGGATCCTCGGTGGAAAGGAATAGCGAAAATGGTTCACATCGTAAGTCAGAAATGGCAAGATGTTTCAAACTCATTAAGGTATTGAAAGACTGTTAAGAGCTCATTTTTTAATTTTTTTCTGTCAATTGTGATTAAGCCGGAGCCCATCGATGACTATGAAGACGACAGTGGCTCGGCACCACCGTCGCCACGTGTGAAGCATAAGCGCCAATGCGCTGAAGTTGCAATGAAAAAGATTAAGCTGGACATCCAACCTGCCCAGTTCGATGCTGCCAAGGTTGGTTTTCAAAATCGTTTGGAATAAATGAATTAACGCTTTAGTAGTTTTTGGCATTTGTCATACATTTCCATTAGGCCGCGTCAATACTTTGCGTGAGCTTGCGGCAGCGTTCCGCGCATGAGCGTACGGCAGCGACTGGAAAGTATACATATAGACGGGGTATAGCATCGTGATGTGTAAGATTGTGGTTGTCAGTACAGCCCTCATGAAAGAGGGTCTCAGTACACCCCTTTTCGCTTGGACCCCCCCTCTCGGTACCACCTTCCCCTACACCTACCTACCACTTCTTACATGTTCTCAGCTTTCTACCAGTTTTTCCAAATTTCCCGAAAATTTGCTTCCGTCGAGCGTAGGGGAAGGTAAAAGCACATATGAACGAAGAAAGTTCTCTCAAAAATTTGCCGCGTTGGGAAGACGCACCTACGACCCCCCCCCCTAGCCCGAAACCCTCAACAAGGTTTTGACTGTGGAGTAGCTCAAGAGGATCCGCCGAGAGAAAAGAATTGCTAGGGTTATTTCATAGCTCTCATTCCGTTGGTTCGTGTAGCCATATGAGTTTCAGCCGACTCGATACCCGGAGGAGGGAAAAACTCACCCGGGCTCGTATGCGGCGCGGTTTTGACGTCAGCGCGGCGGCAGGGCGGAGCGAAGGGCGATGGCCTGCGCCTCCGCCACTGTGCTCCGATCAGCAGCCGCTTTTATGTGGAAGGAAAAAGAGAGAAAAGAGGATTGAACAAATAGTGGATGCGTATAGGTGAGTAGTGGTAGTGGTGAGAGAATATAGAAAAGTCAACTAAGGGCGAATTACTTCAGTGAAAGGTGAAACAGGCAAACGGCCTTCGGTTACCGTTATACCGTTATAAGGTCACACCCAACTAATGAAAGTTTGCCAAACCTCACCTTAAACGTTTGCGTAAGAGCTGTTTGCGTCGTTTTCACAATCGAAGGGAACTATTTCGCCAGTTTTGCCATTTGCTGAAGTAATTCGCCCTGATAGTCGACTTTTCTGTATTCTCTCACCACTACCACTAACTCACCTGTAAACATTCACTATCTGTTCAATCATCTTTCTCTCAGCTGCCGTATGCTGAAGCAAAGTATGAACGCAGCCTACTTATAATCGTAGGGAATTTTATTGTGTGGTGAGTCTATCTAGTTGAGCAAACCGCCGCCTTCAGTGCAGTGGTTCGGTCTGAACCGTGCCCCTGTCAGAGTCTGAACCACAGGCAAGAGCAGGCTGCAGTTGAGTCGAATTCCTGATATGTGCGGGAAGAAAATCGGCTCCGACATTGATGTTTTACAGGAGCGTTTAGCATAAATTCCTCGTTCAGGATAGGAAGAATGGTGTGGATTCACGTGAAGGATCGTGTGATCGAAGTGACTGTGCTCTTCAGAAGTCATGTTCTTTGTCCATTAATCCAAAGTATGCAGGAGATTTTGGGACCGATGTCGCCGTGGAATATTGCCATTTTGAAAGTTTTCTTTTTTCAGCTGTCTTAAAACCCTGACAGATGCGTGTGGAAAGAATTTTTACCATATCACAAAAGGCGAGCATGTTTGTGGAATATGCTATGATGATATCTGGAAATAGTGAGTCAGTTTGATTCCTAATACTATTTTCTCCAGAAAAAAAAACTTCGTTCGACAGAACATTTAGAGCTTTTATTAGCAAGGTTGTTAGAGACAACGGATCGACCAGTAGAGGTCTAGTTAGCCTACCTGATTTTGTGAAGTACATCATTTCAGTGGCCATACGTACTGTCAGCATTTCGCCGATTGGAAAGTGGTTTGGTGCAAAATGAGTCGTTGCTTTCCCACTCCGAGATTCTACGTTCAGGTCCGTCTCAGATATACACTCCATATCTCCGAATGGAAAGGGCATGGCTTGCGCACATCATTCAAATATGGCGTTCCGAATGCGAATAATAATATAGAATGCGTTTCGTTTTACATTTCCGTGTGAGGCAACTGCCACCTTGTCTTTTGCTGGATAATC